TTATGGCTAGGGATTAGACACTCTACTTCAATGAATAGCTATTTTATAGTACTACTTCGGGAGGGTACAGAATTTCTGGGGTAAGCTATTTTAAAGGCCTAAAATTTCGTTCGAAACACGGAAAAAAGCAAAATGTTATAAAATTCGCATTTGGGTACCCACTTTCCGATCCATTGTTTTTGTAGATCTTTATGGCTAGGGATTATAAACTATGCTTCAATGATTAGCTATTATATAGTACTACATCGGGAGGGAAAAGAATTTCTGGGGTAAGCATTCTTAAAGGCCGAAAATTTCGTCCAAAATATGGAAATAAAGCCAAATTCGATATAATACGCATTTGGATAACCACTTTCCGACCCATTGTTTTGGTAGTTCTTAATGGCTAAGGATTATAAACTCTGCTCTAATGAATAGCTATTGGATATTACTACAACGGGAGGATAAAGAATTTCTGGGGTTATCATTCTTAAAGGCCGAAAATGTCGTCCGAAACATGGAAATAATCCAAATTCGATAAAATACGCTCTAGGGTCACCGACTTTCAAACCAATTAGCTGGGTAGTTCTTAATGACTATGGATTATAGACTCTGCTTCAATGAATAGCTATTATATAGTTATACATTGGGATTGTAGAGAATTTCTGGGGTAAGCATTCTTAAAGGCCCAAAATTTCGTTCGAAACACGGAAAAAAGCCGAATTCTATAAAATAAGCTCTAGGGTCACCCACTTTCCAACCAATTGTCTGGGTAGTTCTTTATTGCAAGGGATTAGAGATTCTGCTTCAATGAATAGCTATTATATAGTGTTACATTTGGATAGTTGAGAATTTCTGGGTAAGCATTCTTAAAGGCCCAAAATTTCGTCCGAAACATGGAAATAAAGCCAAATTCGAGTAAATAAGCTCTAGGGTCACCCACTTTCCAACCAATTGTCTGGGTAGTTCTTTATGGCTAGGGATTATAGACTCTGCTTCAATGAATAGCTATTATATTGTACTACATCGGGATAGTAGAGAATTTTTTGGGTTAGCTATTTTAAAGGCCAAAAATTTCGTTCGAAACACGAAAAAAAGCCAAATTTTATAAAATACGAATTGGGGTACCCACTTTCCGACCCATTGTTTCTGTAGTTCTAAATGGCTAGGGACTAGAGACTCTGCTTCGATGAATAGCTGGCATATAGTACTACATCGGTACAGTAAAGAATTTCTTGGGTAAGCATTCCTAAAGGCCGAAAATTTCGTCCGAAATATGGAAATAAAGCCGAATTCGATAAAATACGCTCTATGGACACCCACTTCCCAACCAATTGTCTGGGTAGTTCTTTATGGCTAGGGATTATAGACTCTGCTTCAATCTTAAAGACCAAAAAATCCGATTATATCTTAATGAAGTGTTATCTAATAACTTTTTCACTATATTCATTTTGTCAGTCATAGTGTGAAATGGCCCTCCATACTCTCGGCATCCTGTAAAGTAGTTCCTAAAAAATAACAATATGTCTATGTTGAATGAGTAACTGATATTATCTGTATTATAGCAAATGTCTTGTAAAACAAAGCAGAAAAAGTGTATTACGCTTTTTTGGAATTTTTGGTCCTCGGTGCTCTTTAGCTTTGTACTTGTTTTGGCTTTCAAACTTTTTTCATCTGAGCGTCACTGGTTGGTCTTGTGTGGACGAGACGCACGTCTGGCGTATTGAATTTTAAGCCTAGTACCTTCTGCTAGCTATTATTCGTGTGTTTCTTTGTCCTATATGTTCTCCAATTTATTTCTATTGTGGTCCTGTCATGTGATGTTGTCGTTTTGGTGTTGTGTTTGACGTTGCCATAAAAGCGGGAGGTTTGGCATGCCACAAAACCAGGTTCAACTCACCATTTTTTTCTTAAAATGTCCTGTACCAAGTCAGGAAAATGGCCATTGTTATATTATAGTTCGTTTCTGTGTGTGTTACATTTTAATGTTGTGTTTTTGTTGTGTCGTTGTTCTCCTCTTATATTTGATGCGTTTCCCTCAGTTTTAGTTTGTAACCCGGATTTGTTGTTTTTTTTTATCTCTATCGATTTATGAGTTTCGAACAGCGGTATACTACTGTTGCCTTTTTTATCGCAAGTGGCTTGCGCTTGAATCTAATAAGATTATGGGTTTATTTTTTGTAATCAATGTATGGCAAGCAGAGAAAAAATAAAATTGATTTAACTTATGGCGCACTATCCCGTTCTAGTTGAATCTAGTGCATGTTTTATCAAATATGACTTTTTTCCCCGAGTTACGGACGAAATTTTCGGCATTTAAGAATGCTTACCCCAAAAATTCTTTACCCTCACGTTGAAGTACTATCCAATAGCTATTCCTAAGGGCAGCGTCTATAATGCCTAGCCATAAAAAACTACTGAGACAATGGGTCGGAAAGTGGGTGCCCCCAATGCGTATTTTATCGAATTGGGCTTTATTTCCATGTTTCGGACGCAATTTTCGTCCTCTAGGAATGCTTACCCCAGAAATTCTTTGGCCCCTCGTTGTAGTACTACCCAAAAGCTATTTATTAGAGAAGAATCTATAATCCCTAGCCATACAGAACTGCCGGGCAATGGTTTTGAACAAGTGGGTGACCCCAGTGCATATTTTATCAAATATGACTCTTTTTGCCGTGTTACGGACGAAATTTTCGGCCTTTAAGAATGCTTACCCCAGAAATTCTTTACCCTCACGTTGAAGTACTATCCAATAGCTATTCCTAAGGGCAGCGTCTATAATGCCTAGCCATAAAGAACTACCGAGACAATGGGTCGGAAAGTGGGTGCCCCCAATGCGTATTTTATCGAATTGGGCTTTATTTCCATGTTTCGGACGCAATTTTCGTCCTCTAGGAATGCTTACCCCAGAAATTCTTTGGCCCCTCGTTGTAGTACTACCCAAAAGCTATTTATTAGAGAAGAATCTATAATCCCTAGCCATACAGAACTGCCGGGCAATGGTTTTGAACAAGTGGGTAACCCCAGTGCATATTTTATCAAATATGACTCTTTTTGCCGTGTTACGGACGAAATTTTCGGCCTTTAAGAATGCTTACCCCAGAAATCCTTTACCCTCACGTTGAAGTACTATCCAATAGCTATTCCTAAGGGCAGCGTCTATAATGCCTAGCCATAAAGAACTACCGAGACAATGGGTCGGAAAGTGGGTGCCCCCAATGCGTATTTTATCGAATTGGGCTTTATTTCCATGTTTCGGACGCAATTTTCGTCCTCTAGGAATGCTTACCCCAGAAATTCTTTGGCCCCTCGTTGTAGTACTACCCAAAAGCTATTTATTAGAGAAGAATCTATAATCCGTAGCCATACAGAACTGCCAGGGCAATGGTTTTGAACAAGTGGGTGACCCCAGTGCATATTTTATCAAATATGACTCTTTTTTCCCGTGTTACGGACGAAATTTTCGGCCTTTAAGAACGCTTACCCCAGAAATTCTTTACCCTGACGTTGAAGTACTATCCAATAGCTATTCCTTAGGACAGCGTCTATAACGCCTAGTCATAAAGAACTACCTAGACAATGGGTCGGAAAGTGAGTGCCCCCAATGCGTATTTTATCGAATTGGGCTTTATTTCCATGTTTCGGACGCAATTTTCGTCCTCTAGGAATGCTTACCCCAGAAATTCTTTGGCCCCTCGTTGTAGTACTACCCAAAAGCTATTTATTAGAGAAGAATCTATAATCCGTAGCCATACAGAACTGCCAGGGCAATGGTTTTGAACAAGTGGGTGACCCCAGTGCATATTTTATCAAATATGACTCTTTTTTCCCGTGTTACGGACGAAATTTTCGGCCTTTAAGAACGCTTACCCCAGAAATTCTTTACCCTGACGTTGAAGTACTATCCAATAGCTATTCCTTAGGACAGCGTCTATAACGCCTAGTCATAAAGAACTACCTAGACAATGGGTCGGAAAGTGAGTGCCCCCAATGCGTATTTTATCGAATTGGGCTTTATTTCCATGTTTCGGACGCAATTTTCGTCCTCTAGGAATGCTTACCCCAGAAATTCTTTGGCCCTCGTTGTAGTACTACCCAAAAGCTATTTATTTGAGCAGAATCTATAATCCCTAGCCATACAGAACTGCCGGGGCAAAGGTTTTGAACAAGTGGGTGACCCCAGTGCATATTTTATCAAATATGACTTTTTCTCCGTGTTACGGACGAAATTTTCGGCCTTTAAGAATGCTTACCCCAGAAATTCTTTACCCTCACTTTGAAGTACTATCCAATAGCTATTCCTTAGGACAGCGTCTATAACGCCTAGTCATAAAGAACTACCTAGACAATGGGTCGGAAAGTGAGTGCCCCCAATGCGTATTTTATCGAATTGGGCTTTATTTCCATGTTTCGGACGTAATTTTCGTCCTCTAGGAATGCTTACACCAGAAATTCTTTGGCCCCTCGGTGTAGTACTACCCAAAAGCTATTTATTAGAGCAGAATCTATAATCCCTAGGCATACAGAACTGCCGGGGCAATGGTTTTGAACAAGTGGGTGACCCAGTTTCAAATAGAAGTTGTGTTGTAGGTATACCATGAAAAAATTTATTTTACATCAAAATTCTATATTTTTAGTCGTTAATATGAGTTTCGAAAATCGCAAATGTGGGTTAAACATGGGTTTATACGAATCACATCCTGGACTTATTAACAGATAATACTTTGTTTGAATCGTCATGATGATATTATTGTAAATGCTAATTACAAAATCGTAAATATGAGTTAGAAATTTGCAAACTAAATTTAGAATTTTGTTAATGGGATATAAAAATCTTTGATTTTCTATATAAATCTTGTTTTCGAACAAAAAAGTCAAAAACTATGATTTTAAAGAAAAATAAAATTGTCGCTCAAGTAGTTTTCCAAACGCAATTGCAGGATAGATTTTTATAAAGAGAATTGCAGGATGAGAATTGCTGGATAGCTTGACACTAGTTACAAGATAGCAACAATTAGAAATAGAAATGCAAAACATTTATTCAATATTGTCATATCACTGTTCTTTTTCAAAGCTTCATTTGTTCCAATCTTTTTATTTCTTTTGACATCTGCTGGCTTCTTTACAAAAAATGTAAACTGTTTAGTGATTAAACGAGTGGAGATTCAGCTAATTTCATCGAATAACATAAGAAACTTTTTTTCTTCAATTTAATCCAGTGGTTTCACAAAAATATATCGAAAAGTGTCATCTAATCAGTGTTACTGGATTCAGGAGCAACAATTGTAGCTATTTTATACATCTGTAGAGTTTGGGGTGTATTATTATTACACGAGTCTAACGGTAGAGTTCACTAGACTACATGTATACAGGACAATTTTCCCAACTGAGAGTAGCCGTGTAGGGCCTGTAACCTTTTCTTGGTCTTACAAAAAAAAAAGCAAGTCCCTTTATGGTTATTTTATATTTTAGCGCAAATACATGTAATATAGATTGAGGATTTTAAAGAATAAATACCTTCATAAAAATTTGCTCCTCCAGGATGGTTTGAATAATTTCTAAGCTTATATACTTCTGCATATCTTGAATCTATCCTTAAATTTGGTACTTCTAATTGATCCTACAAAAGTTAAACTAAACATAATAAATACAGGTAAGAAAAACTCACATTGTATTAGTCAGCTACAAAGGCCACAACATTCCAACATGAAAGACAATTCAAACAAGGAAACTAAAGGCATAAATTATAACATTTGACGAAAACAAATGTGTCAGAAATGAACCGACGACAACTACTGAATCAAAGGCTCCTGAATTGGGACCGGCACATAAATGATTATCTGGCCTAGGCTGTAAGGCTAAATACAAATGTACAAGTAACATAAACAACATATTATAGAGGCAACAACACTCAAGTTATTGCATAGCAAAAGCTTTGATAACCAGATACGTAGCCAGCAGTTGAGCTAAGGAACTACTGCTCAGTCTGTTAAAGCCAATAAAGGGCTGACTTGTAACACAGAAGTCCTGGAAGAGACATGCTCACCGGTTAAAAGTGATTTCATTTATGAAGTTTAAAATCATATAAATAACCCTTAAGTTTAACCCCTTTTGTATAAATCGTAATGTTCATTGGACATGAACATCGAGTGGCGGATCTACAAATTTTCATAAGAGGGGGCCCACTGACTGCCTAAGAGGGGCCCGCTCTAGTCATGCTTCAGTGATTCCCTATATAATCAACCAAATTTTTTCCACAAAAGGGGGGCCCGGCCCCCCCCCCCCCCCCCTAAATCCGCCACTGGCATCATAACATCTAGGTACTGACTAAATCATCACCCCCCCCCTTTTTTTGCATTGTGTTTACTTATATTAATTCTTGGAATATATTATTCAAATTAACTAAGATATTTCCAGTAGCATAACAATGTTTTAAAAATGTGAACTAGTGTCATATCTTACCAGTTTTAACGCATGATAAGTCTACGTGGCGGTACATAAAACTTCCGGTTACTGGTTCCAAAATTGCTTCGGATCATGTTCGTTGGTCATCGGGAACAGTTAAATTTTAAATTTGTAAACGTTTGTTGTCGGCACTGGAACAGAAAATCCGGAAAATAGCAATACGTGCACTACATAAAGCTATTTATGGGAAGTACCGCTTTAATCACCTTTAAGTTTCTGTCATTTGATTAAATAATTTTTTTATTCCATAACCTAAATGAATGTTTGCAAAATATTGTTTAAACATTTTCTATTAAATGTTTTTGGGTAATTGTTTTCATAATATTATTTTAAAATGTTGTTGAAATATTAGCAACAAAATGATTTGTAAATACATTTTCTCAATATAAAATCCGTAACGTTTTTAAAATGTTTTCATCAAATATTATAAAGAAATGTTGTTAAAAATATCAAAAAGGCATGTTATTAAAACATTTCATGAAACGTTTTTAGAAAATGTTTAAAAAACATCGGAACAACATTGTTTAAGAATGTTTTACTCGTATGCTTTTAAAATGTTTTTCAGAGGTAGGACCTACATATCTTCTGAACATTTATAAAACATTCAAACTAAATATCTTAAAAAAAGTTATTGAAAACATTTCATGAATTATATTCTTACTTCATTGTGAAAACATTTTCAATTTTCTTTTAATTAAATGTTTTTAAAATACCGGAAAAAATATCTACATAACATCACAAAAATATTTTTCGACAACGTTTTGAGAAGACGTTTATACAACCTTATAGAAATGTTTTGAAAATGTTTTGTGCTACCTGGGTACAACCCATAGCCCTAACTGGATAATTGCTTGACTTGCATTAGTTATCGAACTTGGACATTTAATCTTACACCAGTTGTCGGACTATGTTGTAAATTATTGGTACTTATATATATATAAACTGTGCAGTCCGAAGGGAGTATATTGGGTGATATATTAATCATGTATAAATATAAAAATAAATGAAATGCAATAAAAAAATAAACAATGCAACCACACGTAAAGTCACTGATAAAAAACGCTCTTTCAAAATTTGGTTTAATCTGGCATATGACTCGTGTAAAAATGTAGTTTATCAGTTGAAAGAAAGATGATCGTAAATTTATGTAGTACTCTATATAAAAGAACTTAAGAGTACAGAGGTGTTATAATAAACACCGGTATATATAGGTTATTCCAATTTGCAGGTATAGTCTAACATTTATACGAAAAACTTAACGGGAAAAAAGTATCAATGATAATTTATGCTAATTCGTGTGGTATATTCAAGATTTGAAAAACGAATTGCGACGAGCACACCGGTTAATTAATGCCTTGGTGCAAAAACATTTTTTTATCAGAAACAGTTTAAAATATCCCACATTCACACATTCGACATTTCTTTAACACTTAGGAATTAATTTGCTGTCTTGTTGTAATTTTACAGCAACGCTTAACTGTGACATAACCTGCAATATCAAATAATGATTAAGTTAAAAAAAAATATTAAAAAAATGAATTAAATCGTGTATTAAATAAAACCATGAATTCCAAAAGGAAAATCTGTTATATTTATATATTTTGTCGGTACTTTCAGACTTCGTCGGTATGGAACTTGACTGAACAAAATGGCGTCAATGTTACTGACTATAAACATGTTTGTTTCTTTTTAAATCATAGAAAATTCATTGTTATTACCATTTTCATAAAACCAAGACGATGTTATAGAACAAAGGTTAAGCTTTTGAATAGTTATTTCATTTACATGTCTAGTTCAAAATGCTTTTTAACCTTTACCAGAATATAGCGTGTGGGTGTATTTTTTTTACGCACTACTTAAAATTTTCAGCATGTTTCGAAAGAAAATCTTTACAATATATCAATACAATTTAACATTCGTAATTTACACCAAAGTGTAGCAAAATATTCCCTCTTTAAATGGTATCTCATTTTGACACTTTGTTCTTTTCTAATTTTCAACATTTTGAAAATTCGTACTTAACTTCCAGATTTCATGGTTTTCGAGCCTTTAGAAAAAAATCATTACACTGTATTTTTTTGGCTTATAATCCGGATAAAAATAATAGGAAATGGACCTCCGTTATGATTCTTTGAATTATTTATCATACTTCCGACCGAAACAGACATGCATTATCGCTCGGCGGGAGTCCCGATTGATCTCGAGCCGCATTTCCATTCCTTTTAAATATACAATTCCTTGGTATTCAATATTACTTCCATGGTATTACTAAGATGTCGGGAAACTAACATTTTACCCGTATTTGCAGTTTATTTTCTGGTGCCTTATGCGTTTTAGTACATATCCTTTTTTACAATTCCAATCAGGGGAAAACTAACATTCAATAATACAAGTACCATTATGACACAGAGGGAAACTAACATTCATTAATACAAGTACCATTACGACACAGAGGGAAACTACTTTTGCTCGTATTTGCAGTTTATTTTCGGGTGCCTTATGCGTTTTAGTATATATCCTTTTTTACAATTCCGATGACTTCTTATGATTAATCTGTGGACGACTTCCTTGAATGCATACACATATAAAAGAAGAAGAACCATTTATTAATGATATCAAATGATGGATAATTTCCAAGATAAGAGGAAGTCGCATTGTTTACGATGCGTGGTATATGGCTAGTTTCCTTAGAATGAATGCTTTGTTTATAAGATTAATGTGCAGGAAACTTTCTTAAATGGAAACTATAAATAATGACCTATCAAATAACATTTTGTTTCCGATCTTGAATTCGGCGAGGTTACACGAATAACTTATCAATCTATAAAGCACAAGTTTAACCTTTCTAAAAAGGTATGGAGTGCTTCTTCGCACTATCATGAATTACGTCAACATGTACAGCAATAATTGTTGACAGGGGCTTGAATAAACATACTGTAATTATATTCCTTATCTGCCGTATTTGATATTTCCTGCTGTCTGGTACATATGTCTATATTTCAATGTAGCCAATAGAACGATAGCCACCAGTGGCGGATCCAGGGGGGGGGGGGGTTCCAGGGGTTGGAACCCCCCTTATTTGACGATCAATGCTTTTGAATGGGGACATATGGTTGGAACCCCCTTTTAATAATGGCAGGATCCGCCACCTAATCAAAACTGAAAGGAGAAGGTCCGGTTAGAGTTTATTTTGGCCTAAAATTTGAAGTACATCTGATGTAACATTTTTGACATTTTTTAAACACTTAAGTGTCTTCTTCAGTCGATTCAATTAGATTATGCAAAAGATTTGAACTGATTTGGTCATTAAAGACTCCTAAATTCAAGCTTAAATAATAATTGCTTGACTTGCATTAGTTATCGAACTTGGACATTTAATCTTACACCAGTTGTCGGACTATGTTGTAAATTATTGGTACTTATATATATATAAACTGTGCAGTCCGAAGGGAGTATATTGGGTGATATATTAATCATGTATAAATATAAAAATAAATGAAATGCAATAAAAAAATAAACAATGCAACCACACGTAAAGTCACTGATAAAAAACGCTCTTTCAAAATTTGGTTTAATCTGGCATATGACTCGTGTAAAAATGTAGTTTATCAGTTGAAAGAAAGATGATCGTAAATTTATGTAGTACTCTATATAAAAGAACTTAAGAGTACAGAGGTGTTATAATAAACACCGGTATATATAGGTTATTCCAATTTGCAGGTATAGTCTAACATTTATACGAAAAACTTAACGGGAAAAAAGTATCAATGATAATTTATGCTAATTCGTGTGGTATATTCAAGATTTGAAAAACGAATTGCGACGAGCACACCGGTTAAATAATGCCTTGGTGCAAAAACATTTTTATCAGAAACAGTTTAAAATATCCCACATTCACACATTCGACATTTTTTTAACACTTAGGAATTAATTTGCTGTCTTGTTGTAATTTTACAGCAACGCTTAACTGTGACATAACCTGCAATATCAAATAACGATTAAGTTAAAAAAAAAATATTAAAAAAAATGAATTAAATCGTGTATTAAATAAAACCATGAATTCCAAAAGGAAAATCTGTTATATTTATATATTTTGTCGGTACTTTCAGACTTCGTCGGTATGGAACTTGACTGAACAAAATGGCGTCA